TTGCAATACGTTAACCTTCTTTTTTTTTATACGATAATGGCCGATATTTTTTTTCCGGCAAGATTTGAATATTCTATTCTTGTACGTAAATGACACGTGTTTTATCGACTTTAATATTTTGTTCATTATTTTGAAAACCTAAAATATACGTTAACTGTCGTATCTATTAAAAAAATCGCTTTCATTAAACAATAATTTATTCCAACAAAGTTTCGCCTATACTTTTCACTAAAAAAGGCGATTGTCCGGGTAAGGTCGATCGCTTTTTTTTTATCTTCTCTATGCAATACATTTATTTTGAACATTTGTTTCAAACCATCACGCCCCCTTTCACGTTTCATCATTCTCTGGGCTATAACGGGACAGCTATCATTCTGTTTTGCTCACAAGAGGATGGGGCGGTGTACAAAACGTTGGTGACACACGCGATCGCAGCTTGCCCACTTCGTCTCTCTTTTCCCAGTCTCGACGCACTGTTCTTTTTGTGTCTTGAAACAAACCGAGTTGTAGCGCGCATAATTTAGGAACTTAAGAATACTGTGACTTCTTGTCAATATACTTTAATCACCGCCTTACCTCGTCTCTTTGTGGTCATGAAAAAGTATTGCTAACGTTTTTTTTAAGAATTGACTCGTTTTGCACGCATTATCGTACTCCTCTCTTTCCTCCGTTGCGTGCACGCATTCACCGAAAGAAACAAAATGACACTGCCGTTCCACGTGACGCACGTATCCAATTTAAAATTATTTCCCCTTTTTCACTCTCCTTTTTTTTGTTTACCCTGTTGTTTAATGCAATAATAATAACAGCACGCATATAATAACCGCGTGTATATTCGTTTATATAATTATAATTCATCGATCGACGCTCTTTCTTGGGAATTCAATTATAGTATAATGACAATATGTAATAAGGAACCATTTACTCTGCGATACCAACGAAACGCGAATGTCCCAGTCATATAAATTACGCGCATAATTTATTAAGGGCGATGCGGCCCTTGTCGACAGAAAGAAGGGAGGAACCTCTCGTAAATCCTCTGCCAATGCGATTGGATTTCTCGTACTCGTGCATTGTGTATTTTAAACGTACCCATTGTGCTAGAATAACGGCTGCTCGAGTCCTTCTTTTATGCGTGCAACTTTCGTTCTAAAAATCGTAAGATCCCAATGTGCTCGCGGAAGAATCTATTTGCCATCTCGTTCGTTCTTAAAATTCAGCGACATCTTGTTCGCTACGATACATCGCAAAGTGCACAATAAAAACTGAAATAGTCCCAGGTAGCAGTCAGACGATAAAGTGATGTTTAGTGGCATTTAATAAGACCAAACGTCACCAAGTCGTCTTTCAACATCTGCACGGAAAGAACAATGTAGCTGCTGCAGCTAAAACTTAGCAAAATAGGGACAGCTAATATTTTAGTTGTGATAGCTCAATATTTTGCTACTGTTCCTATTGTATTAGGCGCGACAGCAAACCGTTTGCAATATCACAACTAAAATATTAGCTGTCCCTATTTTGCTAAGTTTTAGCTACAGCAGCTACATTGTTCTTTCCGTGTGCTACCTGTAGTTGTATCAACAACGATTATCATTAAGATCATTTAATAACATGAAATTTGCTTTCCTTGCTTCTATTATGCTATTGGGATTTTAATCTAGGCGGCGATACGAAACCAATAACTCAAAGTTAGTTGAGTGAGAACGTTGATACAACTTACCCAGGTGGCCAGCTGATTTGTCGTCAGCTGGCTACCTGGGTAGCTTACGGATGTTGATAATTGATTAATGACAATCACACGGTGGTGATATCCGTTCACTGAGATGGACCGTCCCCCGTTCAGTGATTTAAAGAAACAACACTATCCGCCGATCACTCTGAAAATTGTCCGGGAAGCTCATGCCTCGAATAATCATTTCTATTCTCGCGCTAATTGAAATTCCTCTCGTCTTTCCGCGCAATATCATAAGGTCACGGTAAAGTTAACTTAAACTCCGATCACCGCAATAGTCCATTGGAATCAACCCAATCATCGCTCATTCATTCGTCAATTGGATCGCGTTATACAACATTAAGTTAAGTGATATTTATCTGAAAAGAAAGGGGAGCGCGCAGCGGGGCTGCGCACGCGGGGAAGCGACACTTTAGAATACGAGATTTGAACTGAAAGCGTCGTCCGCATTGTTTTCCGCGTTGTGTAACGCAGTCCAATTGAGGGTTGGATCTCAAAAGGGGCCTGCCTCTCTTTAACGTCGAGTGGACCTTGGGCCTCTCCTAAATCCGAAATACTATTGGAAGCGCGACGGGACGCAACATCCGATGTCTCCAACCGTATTTGCGATATATAGATTATAATATAATATTCACTCTCACGTTTATGTCTTTCCTCGCTAGCCCATTTTTAGTCCCTAGATCTAATCGCGACCGCTATACCAGCGGCCGCGCATTTTAATCCTAAAGGGTAACTCTTTCGCACTCTCACGCACGCTCTCATCGTCTTTCTCCCTATCCCTTTCACGCTCGGTCTTTTTCTCACATAACTTTAGGTTATTTTTGTTTCTCTTTCCCCCCCCCCCCTCCTCCTTCTCCTTCGACATCTCCCCTTCGGCCTCCCGCTAAGCCTAGCGTTTGAAACGCATCGTCGACCGATGCTCCGTGTGTACCGCGAACGCAGATCGCGCGATATATTCCTATGTATATATTTTTATATGCTACCTCTTTCCCTCAGCTTGATCTTTTCCCCGATTGTTTGATCTCCCGCTGTATGAATCTTAAGTTTGCACCTATACGTTTATCACTGACGGTGACGTTAACTAAATTTCCTTTGCTTGTTTGTGTGTCGTAAGTGGGATTATAATCTAATGAAGAACCATGAGTCGCTAGACTCACGCGCCAATCAGAGCTAGTTAAGCCAGACTATCGGTGTATAACTCAGCCTTAGACGATTAGACGCCGGGGGTGTGGAGGGTGTCTCGTAGATTTCGTGTTTGTGTGTGTGTGTGTGTTTGTGTCGAGTGTATCGCGGTTGTTTGCCGCTGAAAAAAATCTCTCGTATCATCTTTTTCTTTGATCGCATTGGCTCGTCTATAGGGTCATGCATATACGGCATTATTTTAAATTAATTATACGGTAATTTGCGTATGATACGCGTAATATATGTATGTGTATATATGTATGTATATATGTATGCATATGTGCAGATACATGTATACATATATATGTACAACGAGGGTTACTGCATGTAATCGGTTTTAAAGCTATACAGCGGCCGATTAGAGTCATAACAGTCATTGTCCGGCGCCTGCGGAAGCTCCAAGTGGAACTTGTGAAACGAGCGTTCGGTGTCAATCGGAATTACAAAGTAGCGTAAATCGCCATTTACATCCTGACTTTCCTTGCGAAAGCAAGAGCAGCGCCATCGCGTTAAACGATCTCGTCGCGTAAAGTTATTGAAATGTAATGTAGATAATAAAGAAATAATATATATAACTTTTCTAAAACTAGTTCAATTAAAACATCGTACTGCCATAGGACACGGTATTCTTTTAAAGTTCGCAGTTATGAATCCGCGGCGTTCGTAATCATTTTATATACGCGTGCCACAAGTTACGTTTATTTGTTGGAGTATAAATGGCGGGTTTGTCGGCAGCTAAAGAACTTCCGCTATTCTGTAATTCCAATGATATCATCCATCCGCCGTTCCTCATTTTTTTTTGTCTGAAAGTCTTCCGACGTTGCGCATCTCATCGTTTCGAACTTGCCTTCATCGGCCCGAAATTCGACGGCAGCTCTTTTATGTGTCTTCCCGCTCTTCCCACAAATAATGCTAACAGCGTGACATTAAGTATGCAACACGCTTGTGTAACTCCCTCGCTCGCCCGTCGCTACATCTTTCTGCATTATTTCGTTGCGCACCCGGGAAAGCAGGACTGCGACAGGACAGGAGAGAAGCACCGTTCCGCCATTTAGCCAGCGAAAAGGCACGTTGGGAGAGAAGAAGGAGCCTGAAATCTGCATGCGCAGACGTGGAGAAAGGGCAGCAAAAAGGATCGCTTGATTTATCCGCTCTACTTTTTCATCGGCCTTTTATCGCTCTTCTCCTTTTCTCTCATCTCCGCGTCACCGTTTCCTCTCTCGGCCGCCCATTAAACCCTTCAACCCTTCTCGCGCGCATTACGATTAAAACTTGAAAGCCCAGAAACAAAGTCTTTCCCAGGTGTGAACGCGCGTATGTGCCTATCATTATATATAATATACGCGGGCACGCGCGGTGCACGGCGCTCGTTAATAATTGCAATCGCCAGTAATCATATAATAATTAATAATTATAATATTCGTGAGAGTTGGTATCTCTTCCGTCTCTTTAACTGCCTTAAATACTAGAGGTCATACGTTATCTATAATAATTATCAATTATTTATATATTTATAATATATATATGTGTATATATATATTTATATCTTTATATATATACTATTTATATATATTCTAGACTTAACCGCTTAAATATTTAGCAATTAATAATATTAATTTAATTTATTATTATTATATTATTATTTCTTTTATTAATGTCGGAGAACGGGCTGGCGTCAATACGCAGTTTCGGCCATAACTAGCCTATTGCAGCGCGCGTTGTTACCTCTTCCTGTTTCCGTCTGACGGTCGGTCTTCCTGTCGCTTTTCTCATCTTTTTTTCCTCTGACCCTCTCTGGACGTCTTCCCCGTTGCGTCAGTTTCTTTCTCTTACTCATCAACAGGATTAATTTTCTTCTCTCTATCTATAGTTGCATCCAACTGGATTCGACTAATGCTCTAAATTCTTTCTTAATATATTATTACACGTTCGCGTAATATTACATCCGGTTATTTACAATCCGGATTTTGAAGTTGCATCTATTGGATCTTGCTTGGTAGTTGCCTTCCGTTCGACGTCTTTTTTTTGTATTGCAACTTTTGATCGTTATTTATATCTTTGTATCTATACAGTAGGCGTGTATGTATTTTTTTTTTCGTCCAGAGATCGTCCACTGTGTTTAGCTGCCTTAAATCGTCCGTGTTACTTATTATATCAGGCGACCGTGCTGCGTTCTGCCGTCTCGTCCATCCTGGCGAAAAAAGAATTAAAAATTCAACAAGTTAAATATTTGCCCTCTTGAGAAAGCGGACAATTTTCATCGATTTCACGAATACAGTGGACATAATATAAAGACGGACCTAAGAATTTCTTTTCGAAGATATTGTTGCAATCTTAAGGGTGTGTTTCGAATGTTTAAAGTGTTAATAATTATTTGGGTTTTTCTTTTAATATAAATTGTTTCACGTAAAGTTATTTCTCGTCGAGATAATGATAGAAGGAACTGAGTTGCTTAGCATGTGTCGCAGATAGCAATACAGGCGAACGTTGTTAATAAATTTGCCTCGGTATAAAACGTAGATGCAGCTTAACGAAACATTGTCGATGGCACACGTACCTGTTATTAGGTCTTAACAAGGCTCAATGGTAGCCATTAGTGAACGCCGCTGGTATTAAAGGACCCTGAAACAATACAATAAAATCGATCTCATCAACCTTCCCATAAAAATGATCACACAACGATGTGAGCACAAAGATAAATCCGTATTTTCGCCTGCATATCTAAAATTGCAGCGTGCAATTGCGGTACTTGGCCTTTGAGGTTGTGGAATCTCTTTTCCTTTGGCTAATATTTACCGGAGCTCCACAATATAAAGACTGACGAAAACGCGAAGGGTAATACGCGGAGTGATGTTACATGGGAAGTTCTGGGTATATTAAACATATTGACATTACGGAGACTGAATTATAGAAATCCTATAAACAATATTAAGTTGATCTTCGATTCAAGCCAATGTAATAATTGTCATACTATACCTGACGGACCAGAGATGTATTCATAAAATATAGAATCAGAATATAGAATGTATAAAGCGTATATATAATATGTACATAGAGAGAAGCAATCCTTTTTGTGAGATTGATAACCGGTTGCATTAAAGATAATGTATATTCGCAAGAAGGTATTGTATCCACATTTGCTTGTTATAAATGCATAAAGCTGATGAAATTGCAATATACGGAACGAAACGATAAAGAGCTTGGTCGATGGTCAAATAATGTTTCAATTTTGCAATATTTTATTACATCAGGACAAAATTCATTTTAAATTCCTGCCTGCGATGTATAAATTTTTTAACATAAAAATGTGTGATACATTTTTTTTATCGAGTTTATTCAAATAATTTATTCTACCGGCCGCAAATATTTGTCAGAGAGACATTTCTATGCCGATGCATTCGGCGGGAATATTTCAGCAGACTCTTCTGCCTTTATCGTAATTAAAATGCAACGTAAAAACTTTCTTCGATTAGATTTCTCTTCGTAATTGTCTCCAACTAAAACCAGCCGTTGCTTTCTCTGATATCTTCCGGTATTACCTCGCATATTGTCAATTATGAAATTCTATTTAGTCGTTCCATTGACGAGACTCGTCAAGTGCAATTCGTTCTCAGCGCAACGTAAAAAATCGTTCAGCTTACGACGATAGGAGAAATAAGCCGGCTGGGTGAATCCTGATGGAAGTAACTTTCGACCGTGCTCTTTATCCTTACGTTACACTTCTCCATCGGGAGGGGCCCCATCCGATGAACAAAAAGGGAGTATTAAGTGGACTTACGGGACTGTAGTTGAGCGGGGCGCGGGATACGGCGATCGCGGGGAACGCGGTCGTGGGGGGCTGCGGGCTAGCTGCGGCCTGGACGTAGCTTGCGACTGCGGAATCCGCGGCTGCGGCTGCTGCTGCGGCGGCGGCGCTCGAGCTGTACATGTCAATTGGGCCCGGTGAATTGGCCGCCGGGAAAGACCGGCCCTGCGGCCCACCGTGGCCGGCCGCGTGCGGCGACGCCGGCGGGAATCCGGCCTGCGCTGCGGCCGCCTGGTAGTTGTTCATCACTGCAACGAACCCGCGTCAATGTTCACCCTCTCTTATCCCGATCGAGCGGACCGGCGAGACGAGGACGAGCCTCGGGCGAAGCTCGTCCTCGCCTCCCGCGGGATGCGCGAAACGCGAAAGCGCCTCGTCGCTTCCGAATTTGAGACTTGGTTGAGAAATTCCAGGAAGGAATCATTTTTGACGTTACTTAATTTTCACATTCAATTACCGCGGCCCAGTTTACGGATAAAGTCGTTGTAATTCGATTAAACTGTAATAATAGTGTCGTTTTACATTAATATTAGTTCTTCATTTATCTTCATCATAAAGGGAAATAATTCATTTTGCAAAGTTAGTCCATAAAGATTCAGCTTTGACTGTGCCAGAGTAATTGAGGATCTAAAGGAAAAAAAGTCATCTCTTTTATCCAACTGTTAAACGACCGTTAAATGACTATCGGGGCTGTATTTAACTTTCAATCTCGTAATTGTAGAGCGTACGCTATTTTACAACAATTAAACATCTGAGTGACAATTATGGGACGTGAATATTCTGATTGTTTCATTCTGCCCGCGATAGCAATACGAGCGTTGCATGCCTTATCCTTTTTAGGAATCTTCCATGCAAGTACCTTGAGGCACGTTGCTCCGTTGGCGTTTGCTCCCTAGTTTTTAGCTTTTTCGCCTCTTTCTGCTTACTAATATCAAACTCATTTCAGTTGTATAACGATACGCTCCAGCGGGTTAAATCTCATTAGAGATAAGGTTCTTTAACTTATACTATATATACTATACAGTGTGATATTTGTTGTAACGAGCTCACGCATATTCGTGCACAAATGAACGACGACGATCTCTGGTCTACATTTTACGTCGAGGACTGTGCATGTTAAAATGACCGCGCGTTTAAATGGTCGCGTTTATGAAATGCCATTATGTCAATGAGTACGTATCACGTTTACACACATTGAATACGAGGGAAAGGATAGAGTCCATTGAAGGAATACCTTCTCGTAATTTCGTTGGAAGAGAAACAGGAAGGAACGAAAGAAGACACTCATGAAGCGCATTGCAAGGCAGCCTTTACATACGACCGTAGAGATAATAAAAAGAAAACAGCGCCTTGCACATGTAATGTGTACGACATTGTACAACACGTCACTAGGACAAGCAACGCAATCGCACGAGGCAGTGATGGCGATCGACTCGAAAAGTTATGAGATACAACAGGCTTTCGACTACGATTACTGTCTGGCTCGCACGAGGGCTGAATTCCCTCTGTGCTCTTGAGAAATCAAACGGCGCAAAAACTTGACAGGGTCGGTTAGATTAGAAAGGTCAAGCGACGAAAACTAAACTTACCCCATTTCGCGTTCGGCTTTCGAAGTAACGACCTCGCGTGAGAGTACAAGTCAGAAAAGAAACAAAATGCGGGGAGGGGGGAGTAATGGTGATGCGGATAATCACAAAATTTGGTGCAATGGGAGACAAGTCAAAAATTTGAGTGCCAGTGACAAGAAGAACACGGACGTTGCCCTGTATTATTAATATTAAATTTTGTTAAAGATCTGAGGATTATAAATCCAAGTTGCAAGGAAATTCGAAAACAATTTTCCATCTCTTTCGGAAAAGATTTGGTCAAACAATCTTGTCTTCCCTTTTGCACCAAATCCAATTGTTGGCAAGAAAATAATACTGATTATCGAACAGAATATCAATGTCAAAAACTAGTCATCTTCTAGTAAATTTATTTTTAATATTTCTACTTTTTCACGATAACTTTCATCTACATTTGCACCTGAAATATTTTTCAGTAAAAGACAGCGCGAGATATATTGCTCTTTTGAGCCTTTTTGCAACACGCAAACTTACGATATCTGATGTATAATATATAAAAGCACAACAGCAGGGGGGTTAAATACTATACGGTTGTTATGTTTGTGAAATGTTGAAAACTCTTTCTAAACCTTGCCAACAAGCGCTGTTCATTTCCATACATACCAAAGTAGGAAGGAACGAAATCATAGCGGAACTACTCTACGCTACTTTCGAAGCCGGTATCACACGCGGGAAAACAATGTCTCGGCGTGTCGTCCGCATTCTGAAACTTTAGCACTCGTAAAAACTCTGACAGATAGCCAATAAGAAGCGGCGGAGATTAATGCATCTGACTCGAGCGATTCCGTGTATCGCGTTCACGTTGTTCGCGCGCAAGAGCTCGCGTAAATGTCATACGGTACGTACTTTCGGATTAACGGCGGCCACGAGAGCGAAAGACGGAAAAAGACGACGGGGTCCAGAGGAGGAGGAGGAGGAGGAGGAAGCGAAAGAAGAGAAAGGCGGAGAAGGAGGAAGGAGATCGTAAGCGGGCGGTACGCGAAGAATTTGAAACTCTCTCGACGGGAGCGCGAGAGAAGAGGAGAGGCCGATGGTGACGGGGCCGCGCGGGAAACCGAAAGCGCCCCGGCGTACAATCTAAAAACCCATTCAGCTTTTAAACTCTTGACAATGGCGGCCGGTTACAAAGTTTTGTGTCGGTACCACGGCGAGAGAGAGAGGCACGTAGGGATCGTCGGGGCTGAAGGTGGGACGAGCGCGATTCAAAAGTTTGATTTATTTGAGAGGAGATTGCGGACGGCACGACGGCGCGACGGCGCGGGGCAGATCGGGGGCAGATTTTAGATGGGGAGCACGGCAAAAAAAAAAGAGAGCGGAATAGAAGAACGGAGGCGTATTTCGCTGCCGGCATCTCGGCGCCCTCGCATGTGTGGCATTTCTCTTCGGGGATGCCTGGTCCCCCTTCGCGTCCCTCCCGCGTCTCGCGGCGATTCGGCAGGAAGTAATCGCGTAATAATAGGGTGACGGGGAAAAGTAACGAGGCGGTATCCGTTAGAATTGAACGGCGCTTTTCTTTGAGAACAGACATTACTTAGCGAGATGAAGGAAGGTGTCGAGGAACAGGGAATTCCCGCTGAACTGAAGAATTATTCATCCCGGCGCTTATCTGGCAGGATAAGCGATACGAGCCCACTTACTTTACTGATATCCCGAGAGCAACATCGCGAGTGACGTTTATTGACTTTGCCGCGACAGTTTCCGTTGCTTACAAAATTAGCCGAGATTTAATATACAGGGTGTTATGTAATACCCGTCTCGCCTCTTATTTGCGGATAGAGCGGACTAGACTAAGTCGAAAAGTCCTCTACCATTTTACAATTCTCGCAGTAGTTAAGGACATATTAATTATTAAAAATCCCTGTCTTAGCCATTGCCGTGTGTCATAGGCAACTCTCCGCGCGCCTAGCAACGCCAATCGCGGGGTGGCCGCATCTTGCCGCGCGCTTCGATTGGGCGGTAGGCCGGGCTAAGACAGCGATTTTGAATAATTAATAACTCGTGACCAATTGCGATAATTGCAAAATGGTACGGGACTTTTCAACTCAGTCTAATCCGCTCTATTCGTAGATAAGAGATGAGGCGGGTGTTACATAACACCACCCCCGTATAACGCAATACTCGTTAATGAAATATCTGTACGTATAATAGTCATGCACGGTAATCATGCTTATCAAAAGTAGCCATGCTTTCCGTTGCTCACGTACACGAATTGTAATCATCTTCTGAAATTACAGACATTAACCGATCGAAATCTCTCTCTCTCTCTCCGTCTGTTATTATTTCGCTAGATGGAGATTGATTTTCGAGAAGTAATTATTAAGCAACGCACGAAATGGTAAAAATGGCAACCTCAGGGGCTAATGTTGCGCAATTATCCATACTTGGAATTCAGTCTGAGAAAATATCGCAGCGAAGTATGTACCGGACGGCATTAAAATGAGATGACAAAAGCAATGATTGATTCGAACGTAATATTGCGTTTAACGTTTTATTCTTCGCAATATTCCGCCCGAGCGACCGTGGGTATTCATTCAAAGATATTGCGCACACAATCTTTATTGCTTGCAATCTCGCGTGACTAGTTAACGAAAAAGCCATCACAGCCGAAATTGTTTGCATTTCCGGGCGAATCGATCGCACGGCGCGACGAAGCGAGTCGTGGAAGCGCATTACATTTGCAGCCGAGAAGGAGAAAGACTTTTAAAACGTACCAGAAAGTGCTTGTGTAAGTAAGGGCGTGTTGTTGTTTGGGGTGAGTTGTCCATTGGTTAGATCCACTGAAACATAAAACTTCGGTCACAACTGCGCCACACTTGCATTCACGCGTATGTGCTTTTGCTATTCATTTTCGTTGACTATCTATATATATATAATATATATTATAATATATATATAATTATATATATATATAAAAGAAAAAAAGGAAAAGAATAGAACGAACAGAGAAATGCCAGATGGACGATTGAAAAGAGAATAGACGCAAAAAGGTGATCTTTCCGAATGTGTTGCTTTGTCATCGTCTCTCTTGTTTTCGAGTTTCGTCCGAGGATGTCGACGGTCCTCGAGTATGCGTGCCTTCTGCCTCTCGTCTTCTCGACACTCAAGTGCGAAAAGTGGCTCTTAAACGTTCGACATACAGACGGGAGCTGGTTCTTCTATCGCGGCAAATTACATTCGACGGATGAGCTCGCGCGTGTAAGGCAACACGTTGGAAATAACGGAAGCGCCATATATCGCCGAAAAGTGTGACAGGTGTTTTCTCTAGGCACTTAGAAAGCTTTCGCTCGGTATCGCCGGTATCAGCTTTCTCCATCGGGGCGAGGATGCTCGAAACCGCGTTTGGCGTTTAACGCCACGGCTATACGGTTTCGATTCGGATACATCGGCTGGCTGTGGCAATAATGGAACCTAGGGGTATCGATCGCCGTCGAAACTACAGTGCGAGAGAGATTCCCTCGAGTAGCACTCGATGCATCGAAATGCACTTCGGTATTAATATGCATTTTCCGTACGGAATAGACGAAGGCAGAAATGTTACGAAACGCGATAAACGAGGCGGGACGATTCAGGAAGAGTTCACGAGAAATAGTACTTGGAAAGATCGCGCATAGGGGATTTCTGTATCAGAGAGATAGGGGGAGGGCAAAGAGAGATGTATAGAGGGAAAGAGACCGATAATGGGCGAGAACAGGTACGCGCGAACGTATGTGTGGGTGCGAGTGTGAAAGATAGATAGACAGACGAAGAAAGAGAAGGAGGTGTTTTTCGAGGTGTGTATTTCGAGCAAAGTGAATGTCGACTTCATACATTTCTTCCGGAGTGCATTGCGTTGGACGTGTTGCATCGGCGCCTCTGTATACGCGCGGCCTGCATTCTCACTTCCTGTTCCGTGGTAGTACACCGCCGGCACTCCTGACATTAATAAAGAACAAGAAGAAAGCTGAGAATGATGAGAAACAAAAACGGGGGAACGGGGAGTACGATCTGTAATGCGAATTGTTACCGTGGCTAAGAAGAGACAAGGATTTATGTTAACGTACTGCGTGAATTAAGTAACACATTGGGTTCTTGTGGAAATATTCCTATGTTACGTTATAGTTTAACTCCGACGGCGCGTGTATCCGCGTAAGTCGTAGATATCGCAACGTAATTTACTGTGACGTAAATTATAATTTAATAATTCAAATTTAATATCGCGTTTAATCTGCATTTAAAATGCTGAGATATATTTTTTATTTCTCACATTTTCTATCCTTTTTTTTTCTCTAGCATTAGCTTTATATTAATTACACATTTCTTTTATGTTCACCTTTACCGTGTTGATATACAGTTTTAACTAATAGATTGGACAAAATAATTAAATTTTATCCGTTCTAGTTCGATTAGTTGCATCTTATGCGGTAAATTAATATTAATATGTATCACTAAACGGTTTCATTCTATTATATTGTTAGTAGCTTAACCGGCGTTTCACGCATTACATGAACATACTGACAAAAATTAAAAAGGAAATTAAACTGAAGGATTAAATTAAGCGTTCAAGATCAACGTGTCAGCAAAGATACCGTCTCAATTTGGTAAATATTATTTTGCAGTATGCCACACGCGAGAGGATCGTGGAAAAACTGGAATGCAAATAAGAGATGCAAAGGAAATAGCATAAAAGCAGATAAGCTTATAAGTGTATAGCTTCTGTTCCTTCTCATGTTTGCATGGATATTTATAACATAAAGTGCTAATGACATTTTTCACGAGCGATCAATACAGAAAATGTCTCAAGGAGATCTCTCGCGCGAATTTTGTTTAAACTATATAAATTAATTAAATTCCGAAGCAAGAATAATCGTAGTCATATAGTGGGAATTTTAAGTATTTTTTAAATTGGAATAATTATAATAAGCTCGCGCTTAAAAATGCAAGTAGCTAATAAAATCATACTCCTCAGTTTATTTTGAACAGACTTGATTTTAATTAATCAATTAATTATAATTATATTTTAGCAATATATTTATATAATTAGAAATTAAACTTAAAAAAATTATCAAAGATTATACGATGTAGAAAAAATGCGACTTTAACAAATCATACTTAATATTGTTAATATATTATATAATTAAAGAGAAACGTATTGTAGAAGCCACGAAATAAAATTTACAATTATCAGTACGAAATTCAGCACTAAACCAGTATTAAATGGAGCATAAGATTTTACACGTGAACGATTTATAACACGGATAAAAGTCCTATAAAAATATTTGCAAACATTGTGCACTTATTTTCATCAAGTACACGCCTCTTGGATAAACAGCCCCACAAAATTATATGATAGCTATATTGTTTCGCGCAAGCAACTTAAGATATCGCAGACTTTTATCAAATCTCTATAAAAAATACCAGCAAATTTCTATTTTGAGAAAATTGTATACTTATTGTTAATAAATATCGATAACTAATAACATTATGATTACTTTTAGTATATAATATTATAATATAAAATAAAAAATGATAAAAGCAAGACATTTGCTACACGATGTGATCAATGAAACTTTGATGTTTCTAGGATTTAAATTCAAAAGCAGAAGAAAAAGCGGGAATAATTCTTTAGCATGTAAATCATATTGTATGGAAGCGTTTGTGTGCGGATTATATTTGCAATATATGTGCATAATCTAGCAATGAATCGGGAATATTGTTGAAGATCGAAATCATATTTTTCATGCATTGTTAATATGAGGGAGGGAAATGGCCCTTCTATACCGTCATAGCGACGTGTTTTCATGGAGAAGCCTCGTTTTGGACGTGCAACTATCGGCGCTGATAACGCGATTGCGAGAGAGGGTGAATGGACTATAAATCGTGGATCGACGTGATTTGTATGGGGTATCACGGTGCTTAATGGTGTGGCTTGTCTCTATCGACATGCTCTGACCGGAAGTTCCGAGCTGCCATAGTTAGAGGGAAACACTCTGTAGACCTGTCCGCCGTAACCTGACGATTTACGTGCGTTCGTATCTTTTCGATATTCGGCAACATAAATGAATCGCGTCCGGCGAGAAGGTGGAAATTGCGCAAATAAAGAAAGGAGCTTTAAATTCGGAATAACTCGGAGAAAATTAGATTGGAAATCTGAAACAAAAGTAATTTATTCTAGAAGTCGGATTCACGCGTCGGAAACCTGTGGCTTGAGTTTCGAGCTGAAACGGCAGAAGAATTATTCATACAATTGAAATGTCTATTCTTGACGATGATGTACAATTCCAGCTTACGCTAGTGATAATTTATCTTCGATTCACTGAAATCTTTTCCTCGAAATCACGCTCTGATTGGAAGAAAAGCTGTAAATAACAAGTAACGTAACGAGAAGGGAAAAATATATATATAATAATAAATTTTCGGAATGCGAGAAAGACAGACAAAAAGAGGGAAAGTGTGTGCGCGTATATATATATATGTATGTGTCGCGCGCGATCTCTGGTCGGACAGGTTGACGAATGAAACGGAAATCCTTGCCAGCGGGCGTTTATCGGAAGTTTCATAAAAAGAAAGGGGCCGCACGTCCACGTCCAGCCCTCGAAACGGGTGCGGCTTCCGGATTTCGCGACAACCGACGGCTGCACCGATAGCTTTTGGGGTCGTATCTCGATCCGGCCAAAAATAGCGATACCCATAAGCACACATGTATATCCATATACACAGGTGGCATAGCATATATATACATATATATATACATATATATATATACATAAGTGCTTCGAAGGTTGTTCGCTTTCTCTAAACCACGGATATTAGACAGGCACAAAATATGTTGGAAGAAATATAATCAGAATCGAAAATATTCGCATAGTAAAATAATTATTTTAATATCACGAGGTACTATACATGCATATAACTTAATTGAATGTCAAACGGTCATAGCAATTTAAATCGAAAAAAAAAGGAAATCCTATTTCGCAGACAGAAAAAATGGAGCATTTTAATACGATTTAACATTGTGTCGACGCGAGAGACGCGATATCGGAAAAAAAAACGTGAAAATAAGTCAAATATAATCTTCCACGGGATGTGGAATGAACATCTCGAAATTCTTCAAAAATTCTCTAGCCGGATAAAAGCGTACGACCTCTGGGGCACCTTATATAAATAGAGAGGGTGCGTATATACGTATATACTAAGTATATACTAAGTCTGTCCGTGGAAATCCTTATTGCCTGGGTTTGGCCGTCCATCGAAACGACCGACGCGTAGGGATCTAGGCCAAGAGTTCATCTATTTCGAGTGTATCTCCAGCTGACGTAAACGCGATCGAGACTTTAGATAAGGACTTCGCGCCGCGAAATCTACCCAGGGGACTCCGAGTAGTGCGAAACCGGTGAGCTTTGAGTCCCAAATTCTAGCACAGAGTCGTTCGCTCAGAGTCCGTTGGGTGGAGAGCGAGGGATCAGCCGAAGGTTATCACCTGGCGAAGAACGATCGACTTGTAAAGGAGGTATCGGTACGCCCGTCACGAGATAATGTCATTCTGAAAATTGGTTCTGCACTGAAATCAAAGTCTGATTTCTGCGGTGACTTAAACTTATTTTGAAATCAACTGTGTATAAGGTTTATCTATGGAGAACTTTGACCAAAACTGCACGTGAAGTTATATAAAAATAGAAACAAGTTCTTTGTATTTTAAGGTGTTATTAAGAAGTATATTTTTTTCTGTAAAAATAATGCCCGTACAGTTTTCTTGAAGAAGCAATATCGATTTGCCAGTAGCGCATATTCCTACAAAAGCTTAAAGGTTTTCTGAGAGCTCATAATTAATTAACTATGCAATACCGTTCACCCCCTGTGTGAATTAATATTCTATTTTATAATTCTTTATGTACGTTAAATACGTTATATACGTTAATAGATGTTACTTCATAATGTAAATGTATACAAGATATAATTGCGTAAGCAACAAGGCAGTTTGTATTCTTCGACAAATTACGAAGGAAGGTTTTAAAATGATCGAAACCCCTGAAAGCGATTCATCATTGAATGCGCAAATGTGGAAGAGTTTCAAGTGTCGAGAACAGTTCTGTACACGATCATAATGTTGATTTGCATCGAAACAGCCATACGCTGAAGCGAGCGGGAGATAATGATCGCCGTCTTAACGAGAAGCCATATTCTTCCATTTAGTTAGAGAGCGAAGTGCATAAACATACTTGACGAAGCAACACATTGGTCGAATCATGTTGTTAATTAGCACCGTACGGTTAAAGACGATTGTCATAACGGGCCGTTAATTCACGTGCCCATGCTCGGCAATAACGAAATTGTTAAACAATATATCAGATGAAGCAAATCAGTAGATATTTTCCGGGCGGCAGAATCGTTGGCGTGTCCTAAACTACACACACGTGTTAGTGGCTATATGCCGGCAATAATCGTAATCTGGTACATGTTATAGGCAAAATATATAAACACATGTAGATATCACCGTGACAGGTCGAAGTTTCTAAACTACGAGCTCGTCAGTGTGTCACGCTGCTAACTCTAATTAGCGTTCTAATGCTAGCGGTCAAATAAACGGCAAGAAATAACGACGTTCGGGCGGTAAGTTTTACGATCGTTTCTAGCTCAGAGACACTAGTCGCGAATACAGCAGGAATTTATACAATTGCGTAAACAGGGAAATACAAGGAGAGATGGACAATCAAATTTACAGATGGACACACGACACACAAAGAATATAATCACTCTCGTTCTATCTACGTGTCTAATCTACTGTTCTATGAATTCTACACGGAAGCGTGGGCGAAACGTCGCAGCGGATCGCCCTGCCGCTTCGCTAACCATCTCTTCGAAAAAAGAACTACTTTATCTATGTAGATGTAATTTATCCTAAATTTAGAACGATACACTCAAAAAACTTTCCATAC